GTCTAGGTTTGTCAAAGCTTTTCTTCCAAGGAACAAACGTCTTTTAATTTCACTGCAGTCACCATCTGCAGTGATTTTGGAGGCCAAAAACATAAAGTCTGTCCCTGTTTCCACTGTTTCCCCTTCTATTTGCCATGAAAAGTGATGAGACCAGATGCCATGACCTTAGTTTTTTGAATGCTGAGTTTTAAGCCAACTTTTTCACTCTCCTCTTGCACTTTATCAAGAGGCTCTTTAGTTCCCTTTCACTTTATGCCATAAGGATGGTGTCATCTGCATATCTTAAGTTATTTATATTTCTCCCTGTAATCTTGATTCCAGTTTGTGCTTCATCCAGTCTGGCATTTCACATGATGTACTCTGCATATAAGTTAAATAAGCAAGGTGACAATATACATCCTTAAGGTACTCCTTTCCCAAGTTGGAACCAGTCTGTTTTTCCATGTCTGGTTCTAACTGTTGCTTCTTGACCTGCACACAGATTTCTCAGGAGGCAGGTCAGGTGGTCTAGTATTCCCATCTCTTTAAGAATTTTCCACAATTTGTTGTGATCCACACAAAGGCTTTAGCATAGTCAATGAAGCAGTAGACGTTCTTCTGGAACTCTCTTGCTTTTTCTATGATCTGAGGGATGTTGGCAATTTGATCTCTGGTTCCTCTGCCTTTTCTAAATCCAGCTTTAACATCTGGAAGTTCTTGGCTCACATACTATTGAAGCCTAGCTTGGAGAATTTTGAACATTACTTTGCTAGCATGTGAGATGAGTGCAATTTTTTGGTAGTTTGAACAGTCTTGTGTGTATATATATATATATATACATATATATATAATATTTGAACATATTTATAAGTATTTATGTATAATGAACTTCTAGAATTAATTTTCTAGATCTTTACAATTACAATTTTAAAAGATATTGCCAATTGTCCTCTGAAAAGATTATACTTATTTATACATCCATCCAATGTATATGAGTGTCTATTTTCCATATCCTTGGAAACATACGATGTTATCAATCTTTACAATATTGACTTTCTGAAGGTTGTAGAAACATAACACATAGTGTGCAGATCTTGATTTCTAAATACCACTTTTTTTCCAATAAAAGGAACTAGGGAACCATGTAGAAATGGTTAATTCTAGTACTGGGGTAGGGAATATCTTACCTGGAAAGATAAGCCTGGAAAATCTTATAATGAAAGAAAATAAAGTAGGCAAAAAATGGAGACATCAAAATGACGTAGAAGCTCCCAATGGCCAAGGCTACAAAACAATGACAGCATTAGGTTATAAGTCATAAAAAAACATCCATTAGTCTACACTGCTATAAGTAAATATGTGAATAAATGGGCGAGGAGGGTCATCTTCCTCATAGAATTTCAATTAATTCAAACAGATGAAGTAGAAGAAATAGAAAATCACCATTAGGTAAATATCACAGTAGTTAATTGTCATCATAAGAACCACTGATGAAAGCTAAACTTAGTGGACAAAAGTATGATGAGAAAAGAATGTTTGAATGGTCTCAATATATCTTCCTATAAGGTACTTATTAATTATAAAGAGGAAAATAGTAACTTTACAGTGAAGCATAGCAGACACTACCTTAACCAAGTGATCAAGGTTACATGTCACCAGTATTAAGACACATCAGCATCAGATATCTCCTGATATGATGTACTGAAAAGGACATAACATCATTTCTGTGGTTTTGTTACCAAATATGCATAACATCAATCTAATAATGACAAAATATCAGAGAAACCCCAATTAGGGACATTCTACATAATAACTGATCAATGAGAACTCTCACAGTTAGGAACAGATTAAGGATACACGATAACAAAGTGCAGTGTGAGATCGTAGATCATAAAAGGACATTAGTAGGACAGATGGGAAAAATCAAATAAGGTCTGCACATTAATTAATAGTACTGCATCAATATTATTTTCTTAGTTAACTTTTCTATGGTTACGTAAGATGTTAACACTGGGAGAACTAAGTGAAGGAAATATGGGAACTCTTACTATTTGACTTTTCTATAAACTGAAAAAGGCTTTTAAAAAGAGCTAATTGCAAATTTCCTGGCAGTCTAGTAGTTAGGATTCCATGCTTTCACAGTGGAGGGCCCAGGTTCAATCCCTAGTTGGGGAACTAAGATCCCACAAGCCACATGGCATGGCCAAAACAACAAAAAACAAAAAAGAGAGCTAATTGTTCTAATTTGTATTAATACTCTGAACACTCTAAATTTTCTAAGTTTATCATTTATATTTGTTTCTCTATAAATTTTAATTTACCCACTTTTTAATTGGATTACTGACTTTAGTATACTAAGAAAACTATATGAATTCTATATTGAAGAAATTAGCTTCTGTGTGTGGCAAATTATTTTCCAGTTTTTCCTTTAATTTTTTTTTTTGGTGGGTTAGTGTGTATATGTGTATATAGATTTTTTTAAATGATTTCTGCAGACCTGTAGGCAGAAAATAAGGAATAGTAGTCAAGTGGCTTTAAGTTTTCAAAGTAATCCAAAGACCACAGAATAGGAATAATATTTTATGGAAATGAATTTAAGAAACTTTCTTTCCTCCATTAAAAGTTACATTTATTTAAACATTTACATACAGTAAAATTCATCCTTTCTGGTGTACAATTCTAGGAGTTATCACAAATGCATACAGTCATGTAATTATAATCAAGATACAGAAAATTTCCATTATTAAACAAATTCCTTGTGCTACCATTTTGTAATCAGTCTCTTATTTTTAACCTGTCATCCACTGACTCATTCTGTTCCCATAGTTTTTCCTTTTCAGAATGTTATATAAATGGAATCTAACAGTAAGTAGCCTTTTGAGTTTGGCTCTTTTACTTAGCAAAATGCACTTGAACTTTATCCAAGCTGTTGCATGTATCATATAGCTCATCATAGTTTTTATTGCTGAGTACGATTCCCTTGTATGGGTATACCACAGTTTATCTATGCACCAGTTGAGGGACATCCTCTGTTTTTATTTTCCTTTATTGTTAATGGTCTGTAGGTCTAGTAAAGGGCAGAGGTGAGATTTTATACAACAGGAAGAAGTTTCTTCTGAAAAGTCCACCTTAGAAGTATGCTCCTGGGTAACATGTGCAAAAGGTTATACCAGGATAACTTACTTCTTGTCCTTTAAACTATATTTAAAATTGGAGTTAATCCAAAGTGAGCAGTTTAACAAAGGAATAGATGTTTTTCCTGAGTATAGTTAGATGATATCCTCAGAGCAGGCATGACAAATATTCTGGAATGCAAATCACTGGCAGAGTATTAAATTTTTCTTTATTAAAAAACACTGAAAAAAGTAAAAATCAGCCCAAATCACACTTTAAAAATTTTATAAAGCAAAAGTCCCCTTTCAGTCTATCCAATCACATCTCTAAAAGGTTTACAATTTGGTATGTATATTTCCCAGGTTTTTTCTAAGTTTGTTCAGAAATATCTATATATACATATATCATATGTATACAAGTGCTTTTGTTTATTAAAAAAGTATTCACATATACATATATATTACTTTTTAACTTATTACAAAATCCTAGACACTATACAAATCAGAATGCATTAATAGATATACCTTCATTATTTTAATGGCTGTATAGTATTCCACTAAATGGTTGCATCATAATTTATCCTTTGTCACACTGACAGACATTTAGTTTGTACCCACTATTTCAGTGTGTGTGACTTTATTAAAATATAACTTGGATATCATAAAATTCACTCATTTAAAGTATATAATTCATGGTTTGTACTATAAGAACCAAGTTCTACAATTATCATCACAATCAATTTTAGAACATTTTCATCAAGTTCTAAAGAAACCTTATACACTTCAGCTATTGCCCACAGCCCTAAGCAACCACTAATTTACTTTCTGTCACCATATATTTGGAATCATATAATATACAGTCTTTTGGAATAGCAGCTGTCATTTAGCATGTTTTCAGTATCCTTCCACATTATAGCATATTTACCTCTTCTACTTTTTGGAAGAATTTTTGAAGAATTTGTATTAATTCTTCTTCAATGTTTGTGAGAGTTAATCTGAGAATCCATATATGTTAATGCTTTTCTTTTTGGGGTATTTAAAAAGTTTTAATTAGCCTCTTATTATAGGTATTTTCAGATTTTCTTTGTTCTCCCTTTCTCAACAATTGGTTTCAGTAATTTGTGTCTTTCTAGGAATGTGTTCATTACAAATAAGTTATCTAATTTATTGACATAAAATTGTTCATGATGTTCCTTCATAATTTTCTTTAAATTTCTATAAGATTTGTAGTAATGTTCCCTCCTTCATTTCTGATCCTAGCAATTTGAGTCTTTTTTCCCTGGCCAACCTAGTGAAAGGTTTTTCAATTTTGTTGGTCTTTACATAGAGCCAACTTCTAGTTTCATTAACTTTTTATTCTCTATGCCATTTACTTATCTAATCTCTCATATTTCCTTCCTTCTGCTTTTTCTAGTTAGTTTTCTTCTCTTTGTCCAGTGTCTTAATGTACAAAGTGAGGTTATTGATATGTGATATTTCTTCTTTTTAATTACAGGCATTTACACTTATAAATTTTTCTTTAAGCCTTGCTTTAGGTACATCCCATAAGTTTTGGGATGTTGTATGTTCATTTTCACTCATCTCAAATTAACCTTGTAATTCCTTCTTTGACATATTGGTCATTTAAAAGTGTATCTAATTCCTATTTGTGTCTGCTGACTTTCTGTTATTGATTTCTAACAGAAGTTTCATTCTATATGGTCAGAGAACATACTTCACATAGTTTGATCCACTTTAATTTACCATGATTTGTTTTATGGTATGTGATATAGCTATGATTTTTCCAGTAGTCATGTATGGATGTGAGAGCTAGACCATAAAGAAAGCTGAGTGCTGAAGAACAGATGATTTCAAACTGTGGTGCTGGAGAAGACTCTTACGAGTCCCTTGGACTACAAGGAGATCAAATCAGTCAATTCTAAAGGAAATCAACCCTGAATATTCATTGGAAGAACTGATGCTGAAGCTGAAGCTCCAATACTTTAGCCACCTGATGTGAAGAGCCAACTCATTTGAAAAGACCCTGATGTTGGGAAAGATTGAGGGCAGGAGAAGTGGGCAACAGAGGATGAGATGGTTGGATGCCATCACTGACTCAGTGGACATGTATTTGAACAAATTCTGGGAGATAGTGAAAGACAGGGATGCCTGGTGTGCTACAGTCCATGGGGTTGCAAAGAGTTGGGCAAGACTGAGTGACTGAACAACAACAACAAAATGTGGCATGGTCCATCCTGGAGATGTTTCATGTGTATTTGAGAATAATGTGTGTTCTGCTCTTGTTAGGTGAAGTGTTCTATAAGTGTTCTATAAGGTCTAGTTGATTTATAGCATTATTCAAGTCTTCTATTCCTTTGTTCATAATTCTGTCTAGTTCTTAATGAAAATGGGATACTCAATCCCCCACTTTTTGTTGTATACATTTATATTTCTCCATTCATTTCAGTTTTTGATTCATGCATTTTGGTACTCTGTTGTTAGATGCATATGTGCTTATAATAAATGTCATTATCTACAGAAATTTTTTTTTGCTTTAAAGCTCATTTTAAATAGACTTTAGATAATAGTATAGCCACTCCAGCTTTCTTATAATTGCCATTTGCCTGATATTTCTATCCTTTAACCTTCAATCTGTATCTTTGAATCTAAAGTGTGACCACAATAAATAGCATAGAGGTAAGTCTTTGTTTTTTTCCCATTTGATGATCTCTGCCTTTTGACTAGATTATTTAATCCATTCATACTTCTGTCTCAAGTTTTTATTTCCCCATTCCTCTTTTTACTTTCTTTTGCATTGGACATTTTCTAATAAGACATTTAAGTGTATTTAATATTTTTACTATATATTTTTAGCTATTTTGTTAGTGGTTGCTCTAGGGTTTATCATACACATCTTAACTGGCTTCAGCTATATACTAACTAAATTCCAATGAGATATGAAAACCTTATTCTTATGTAAACCTATTCCTTTTCTCATTTTTTGTGATATTATTGTTAGTAGTGTTATCTCTACATGTTATAAACCCAGTAATATGTCATCATAATTATTACTTAGTATAATTTTATGTCTTTTAAAGAAGCTGACAGAAGAAAGAGCAAGTATATTATTTACAGCTTTTTTATATTAACCTTCTTATTTCCTATTTCTTGTTTCCATCATTTGTTCCTATGGATTTGACTTACCACCTGGAGTCATTAATTCAGTACAGCTTTGTTTCTACCTTTGTCTTACTATTGGTAAATATATTAGTTTTATATGTAATAGATCCAATAATGCAATTACATATATATTGCTTGATAAAATAGCTTTTAAAATCAATTAAGAAAGAAAAATGTATTTTGACTATCTTTTATAATTACATAATTACCTTTACCAGTGCTAATTTTCTGTATGTGTAGATTCAAATTACTGTCTGAGCTCACCTGCTTTCTACCTGAAGAACTTCCTTTGATATTTCCTGCTAGTCAGGTCTGACAGCAACATATTCTCCCAGTTTTTGACTGTGTTGGGAGTGTCTTTATTTCATCTTCATTTTTGAAAAACAGCATTATTGAATATGGAATCTATGTTGACAGTACTTTTTCATTTCAACACTTTGAGTAAATTTTCCCACTGCCACCTCCTTTGTTTTTGATGAGAAGTCATCTGTTACTGAAGTTTCCTTGTAAATGATGCTTCATCTATCTCATTTTGCTTTCAAAAGTTTTGTCTTTGGGTTTTAGCATTCTTATTGTGGTATGTTTGTGGGTTTCTTGTTTATCTTACTTGGGATTCATTGCGATCTCTTGGATGTGTAGATAATGTTTCTTATCAAATTTGGGGTGTTTACAGCCATTATTTATTGGAATATTTTTTTCTGCTCCTTTCTTTCTCTGATATTCCCATTACAAGTACATTAGAGTGCTTAATGGTTCTATACTCTGTTATGTTTTCATTCTTTTTTCTTTCTGATCTTCATTCCGGATACAATCACATTTAATCAACACAACCCAATGAAGTAATATCACTATCCTCATTTTTATAGATAAAAAAATGAGGCTCAGATTTAATGACTTGCCAAAGTCACAGATTGGTTAAATATGGCTGTGAAGTTCAAACAGGTCTGATTCCAAAGTTTATACTACTTCCTCTATGTCATGTCATTTTTCTATTCTCCAGCAACTATAAACAAACAACTGGGGGACTTGGGGCTGGCTGCCTCTCTTCTAGAAAGCTCTTTCTTTCTACCCTCCTTTGGTATTCTTTGCTAGTATGTTCCTCTTCCAAAATTCATATATTTATTCCCTAACATGTACTGACGATGATTGAATGCTTATTGCTTTGAATTCAATCATTATTAAATGATAGCTAGTGTAAATGATTGTGAGAACACTAATGTTTTGATCTAAATTCTTTCATTAGAAAAAATGAACAGATTTTTTAAGACACTGATAACTTAATAGGGAAGTGTGCATTAAATATTTGCTGACTAACCTATGAAAACTACCTACTGTTACTGCTGAAGGTCTAATTCAACAGCATTTGCTGATGTTTAGGCCCCTGGTCACTTATTTACTAGGTGAATAAAATTAGGGACAAGTGGGATCTAGATATAAATATTTCAACATTTAATTAGTTTTCTAGTTTTATATATATATAGGAGGCAGTCTTGGAAAGAATGTCATCTCTAGGGACAAATATATAAGACCTAATATAAATTACAATGATTTAAAAAATCCTTGGAAGTAATCTACTGTAATTTATCCTGAGAAAATGATACTTTTTATATGCAGCCCTCTACACTCATTATATTGTCTATCCTAGATAATCTTTGATTATAGAAAATGTATTCTGCCAATTCTTCCCAAAAGCTAAAAGGGATTATCTTAATTTTGCTTTCTCTCCCTCAGTTTCTCTTCTTCAATTCCAAACAAACTGTTATCTATGCAAAAACCCTAGATCCTAAATTCTGATGTAAAAAAGACCTCCTGGGACTCACAATTTTTGTATCTTCTAACTGCCACTGATTTCAGTAGTATTATCTGTAGTAGATGATATTAGAGAAGCAGCCTGGAGATCTGGCCATTGCTTTTTGTTCTTTCCAAATTCTATCACCAATATTTTCCCACGTAGCTTATATCCATTTACTAGACGCAATGCTTGCCATGCTATTTCTGTATCTAAAAGAGAAAAAAAACCCATTAGTTTATGTATGGCTTAATAATTCAATTTTATTCCAAGTCTAGTTTATGTTGTTTTGCCTTGGAGTACAATGTAGGCTATAAGGCCATACAGTTATTTGAGTTTATTGTGTTTCCCACAATCCCAAATTTGTATAACTCAGCAAGATTAAACTAATGGCAAAGAATAATGACAATAGAATCTTAAAAAGGATATTTGAGAGTGTCTCCTAATTCAAGGATACAGGTTAAAAAAAAAAACAAGGATACAGATGGTGTGCTAAAGAGGGCTAAGCCATATCTAATAATACACAAACCTGTATCTTAGATAACACATTATAGGTGCTAAAAGAATGAAATAATTTTCAAAATAGGAAACATAAAAGAAGTTATTATGGTACTGGGGACATCTTCCTATTAATACTTTTCCTTTTAATTAGAATGTGGTTGTCAGAGCTCTCATTTGGATAAGTTTAAAAATCCTTGTAGGCATATGGAAGCTTGAGGTGTAAGAGTATAAGGGACGTAAGGTGTAAGGGTATAGCAGGATGATTTAATTTATGGGTCTCAGAGTCTAGATGTGGGAAATTAGGAAGGAATGGACTTATTGCCCAGAGTCTGTCAAATCCTAAGTAGACAAGCAATGGTTTTAGATTGAACCAATTTACATCTTATATGTATGCTCTACAAATTTTCAAATGTATTCATAACTAGTAAAACAGTTATTTATTTAAAAGTACTTAGTGTATAAAGCCTTTTTACTATATATTTTTTCAACTAATGAATCATATTAGGTGGGGGTACATGAAATAATATTTTAAGTTTTAAAGGGTTCTTACACTTGAAAGACTGAAAATTACTAGAACTGAGGATCCAAAAACATTCAATGAGATAGGAAAGATGTATAATGCTGTATAAGAAGACTGCAGGGGAATTTGGCATTGCTCATGTGTAAAAGCACTCACCTTTAAATACATTACTATGCAGTATATAAATTATGATAGTTTAGGGATAATAAAAGGCACAGTTCCTACCTAGCCTCCACCAAAAAAGAAAGACAGTCTGGTCTGTCAAAGAAACTGGAATTCCTATAGAGATACAACTTGTTTAATTACACTTTCTTTTATTATGCTTTGCAGATAATGTGTTTTTTCCCAAAATGAAGGGTTTTAGCAACCCTACACTGTTAGATGATAATATTTTTTAACTAAGAATTTTTAAATTAAGGTATGTACATTGTTTTTTGGACAAAATGCTACTGCTCACTTAATATACTACAGTATAGTATAAACACAAGGCTTCCGAGGTGGCTCAGAGGTAAAGAATCTGCCTGTAGGAGACGCAGGTTTGATCCCTGCATTGGGAAGATCCCATGGAGGGGGAAATGGCAACCCATTTCAGTATTCTTGCCTGGAAAATTCCATGGAGAGAGCAGGCTGGTGGGCTACAGTCCATGGGGTCGCAAAGAGTCAGACACAACTGAGGAATAGTGCATGTACCCTTTCTCCCAGTCTATGGTGATAATCTGCATCTAATAGTGTAAATGTAACTTTTGTATGTACTAGGACAACAAAAAATTCGTGCAACTCACTTTATTGAGATAATTCACCTTATTGCAGTGGTCTGGAATCTGCAGTATCCCTGAGATATGCCTGTATTATTCTTCCCTATGGTTTAGGATACTGAAGTCATGTATTAGGATGCAAACAACAGTTAAAAAATATACCACCCACTAGTTAATTATGAATTACTAATGAATTAGCATAATATGGCATAATATCATAATAGTTTGCAATCTTACTTCTAAAGGAATAGGGCAAAAAAATAAAATAAAGGAATAGGGCATAATGCAACTATAAGTGTTCTGATAAGAATACCAATAATTAATGATTAATGTAATTATAACTTGGACTAGAAATATTACTTTCAACAAAGGGAAAGTAAATTTTGATACAGTGAGTAGGAAGTGCCAAGACTGGGTAAAAGAGAGGACAATGGTGTAAGGTGGTGGTGCACTGTCAAAGAAGGAGAGGAAACACTTAGAAGGGAGAATAGAAAAATAAAAAAAAACACGTTTTCCTTAGTTCTCTTCCTTTCCTCCTATGTGCTTCTTTTGTGGGCTATATTTAAATTAGAGAGGGTATACATAGTTGCTAATGAACTTATTAGTGACTCAGCCATAACTGCGTAATTATCCAGATGAAGCTACTTACTGGGAAAAGTGATAAAAGCCTGCCCCCTCATTCGTCCAGTCATCATTCGGAATTGAATTGGAGGTCCTTTCTTTTCCTGGAACCGAGCGAATAATGAGACAAGATCTCTTTCAGTCACCCGAGGGCTAAGGTTCTTCAGGTATAACACCTAATACAAACCAAGGATCAACAGAAATATCACATTAGGGAGATAAGGCAACTATTTCATTGTGGAAGGATTTAGTTTCAGATAAAGGTGGTGGATTGAATACACGCATCTAATTTCAATCCCTCCAAAAAACTTTAAAACTATAGGGACTTAAAAAAAAATGTAAGGAAGAACAAGGAAATGAGGCAATAGCAACAATATTCTGGAAGCTGTAAAAGAACTGAACAAGCATACTCGAGAAAGCTGAATCTTAACTCAGTAGTGGGGGAAACCAAGAACTAACCCAATCCACATCTAAGAATCCTGAAACATTTTAGGAACTGATATATTCTAGTGTCTCTGGGCACTAGAGCTGGAGTTAAGATAGGGTGGGTATGTTAAAAGTTCTTTAAAAAATTAGATTATATCTTTAAAGATTATATCTTTAAACACCTTCCCCTACAATATGCTACTGGGTAAAGACCACTCCCAATCCTGCTATATACTGGAGGTTCATTCTCTGAACATGGGGAATGTTAGACACCATTGAGGATGTGAATATTGTTCCTGAAAACTAGGCTTTAAGAGAAATGATACATTCTGAATGATGAGGATACCCCAAACACTTTCCTTCATTTGGCTCCTACAATGCTGGTGGTACCCTCCCCAAGTGAGAGTTCTGAAGTCTTCTCTGGGAAATCTAATCAGCCCCAAGAGGAAAGGTCTAAAAATGCTGATTTAGAATGGGGACTTTCTCCAACAAATGAATGAGCCAGATGACTTTAAGTGAAGCTTAAACTCAATAAGGATCATTCATTTGATCAGAGCTTCCAATCCGTTTTTGACTCCTACTCATAAATATGAGCAGAAATTATCAGGCATCTGAGAAAAGCCACTAATGTGAAAGAGACAGAACAAAAAAATAAATAAAAGCAAGTGGGAGAAAACAAACTATGCAAGGAGAAAAAAAAAACTTCAAAGAGCCATCACTAATATACTCAGAGAAAGAAAATATTCTATCTATTAGGAATGAAATGCTTTTTTAAAAAAGAAACATTCAAGAAAATAAACAAAAAGAGCTCTTAAATGTGACTGAACTTAAGTTCTCACTGGCTTAAAATAGATTATTACAAGGTGTTCTAAGTAAGTACCTTTGTAATCATAATTAAAATACCTATAGGAAGGAGCCAAGATGGCGGAGGAATAGGACGGGGAGACCACTTTCTCTCCTACAAATTCATCGAAAGAACATTTGAATGCTGAGCAAATTTCACAAAACAACTTCTGATCGCTAGCAGAGGACATCAGGCGCCCAGAAAAGCAGCCCATTGTCTTCGAAGGGAGGTAGGACAAAATATAAAAGATAAAAAAGGGAGTCAAAAGAGCTACGGACGGAGACCCGTCCCGGGAAGGGAGTCTTAATAGAGGAAGTTTCCAATCACCAGGAAACCCTCGCACTGGCGGGACTGGGGGAAGTTTTCGGCAATCTAACGGGGAGGAAAAATTAAACAAGGCCCACAGATTACGTGCCTAAAAGCAACTCCCAGCAGAAAAGTACCCCAGACGCCCGTACCCGCCAGCAACAAGCGGGGGCGGGACGGAGAGGAGCGGGCGGCATTGCTTAGGGTAAGGACTGGCCCCAAGACCCTGAGAGCAATCGGAGGGAGCTTTTTTAAACTGTGGGATAGCAAGGGTCAAAATTAACAGGCCCGAACACACTGCCGGCGGTTCGCAAAACAAAGGGACTGAGAAAGTCCAGAGAAGAGCCGGCCATCCCCGCTGGAGGTTGGAGGCAGGGGGGAGGGGAAAAGGGCAAACTCAGCCCCTGAGAAGCCACCCCCTCCCACACTGCAAACAGGCCCCCGGTTCCTATCTAAAGACTTCCTGAGACCCGACTGGCGGTGCGCGCTGGGGCCGGGAGGGAAAAAGCGCGCCGTACCCGGGGAGATTGCGCCCAAGCCTCTGGCTGCCTGAGCTGCCCGCCGCGGAGGGAAAAGGCGCGCCACATCCGGGGAGAGTGCGCCCAAGCCTCTGGCTGCCTGGGCCGCTCGACGCGGAGGGAAAAGGTGCGCTGCATCCAGGGAGAGTGCGCCCAAGCCTCTGGCTGCCTGAACCGCTCAGGCCGGGGAAGGCACAAAACGCAGGCGCAAACGAATCTGTGCTTTTGTGGAGTACCCGAAAACTGGAACCGCACTCAACGCAGGGCCCGCTCCATATAGAGCAGCCGGGAGCCTCAGCAGTGTAGACGGCGAAAGCACTGACACCCGTGAGCAGGACAAACCCAGTGTGACCGGAACACGGTGAGTGCTATCCACACAGAGCAGTATCTGTCTGCAGCGCCCCGCCCTCCCCGTAGCAGGACTGAACTGAACTAGAGAACCTAAATAAGAGATCACCTCCACCCGCCTGTGTCAGGGCGGAAATTAGACACCAAAGAGACGGCAAACAGAAGCCAAATAAAGGGAACCGCTTCAGAAAGGACTGGTGCAACAGACTAAAATCCCTGAAGGTAACACCGACTACACCAGAAGGGGCCTACAGATATCGAGAAGTGTAAGCTGGAAAGAGGAGCTATCTGAAATTGAACTGAACCTACGCTGACTGCAACAACTCCAGAGAAATTCCTAGATATATAGATATATTTTTTTTAACTTTTAAAAAAAAATTTTTTTTCTATCCTTTTTTAATTTTTTTTAAATTTTTTCTCTTTTATTTTCTTTTAAAATTCCCTATTACTCCCCCATTACTCCTCAACTTTCATTTTCATATATTTTTACGATTTTTTTAATTAGGGAAAAAATTTTTTTCTTTTTTTTTCTTTTTCTTGTTTTTCTCTCCTATTTCCTTTTAAAGTCCTCTAATACTCCTCTATTATTCCTTAATTTTCATTTTAATTTCACTATAACCTTGCCAAAAAAAAAAAGAGAGAAAAACCCTATTTTTAAATCAAACTTCATATACATTTCTAAATTTTTTTGTGTGTTTGTTTTTAAATATTGTATTTCAAAGAGTCTAACCTCTACACTAGATTTTTAATCTTTGTTTTTCAGTAGTATGTGATATAAATTTTGGTCATTTAAGAATCCAATATTCAGTTCCCATTTCTATTGAGGAGTGTGGTGATTACTCTCCCACTTTTGACTCTCTGTTTTCTACCTCGGAACACCTCTATTTCCTCCTTTCCCCTTCTCTTCCCAATCCAACTCTGTGAATCTTTGTGGGTGTCTGGGCTACGGAGAACACTTTGGGAATAGATAACTGCGTAGATCTGTCTCTCTCCTCTTGAGTCCCCTTTTTCTCCTCCTGATCACCTCTATCTCCTTCCTCCCTCTCCTATTCTTCATGTAACTCTGTGAACCTCTCTGGTTGTCTCTCACGGTGGAGAATCTTTTCACCATTAACCTAGAAGTTTTATTATCAGTGCTGTATAGTTGGAGAAGTCTTGAGACTATTGGAAGAATAAAACTGAAATCCAGAGGCAGGAGACTTAAGCCCAAATCTTGAGAAAAGCAGAAAACTCCTGACTACACAGAACATTAAGGAATAAGAGACCATCCAAAAGCTTCCATACCTACACCAAAACCAACCACCACCCAAGAGCCAATAAGCTCCAGTACAAGACATACCACGCAAATTCTTTAGCAACGCAGAAACATAGACCTGAGTGTCAACATACAGGCTCTCCAAAGTCACACCTAACACATAGATCCATCGCAAAACTCATTACTGGACACTCCATTGCACTCCAGAGAGAAGAAATCCAATTCCATGCACCAGAACGCTGACACAAGCTTCCCTAACCAGGAAACCTTGACAAACCAATCGTCCAACCCCACCCACTGGGTGAAACCTCCACAATAAAAAGGAACCTCAGACCACAAGAATACAGAAAGCCCACTCCAGACACAGCAATCTAAACAAGATGAAAAGGCAGAGAAATACCCAACAGCTAAAGGAACATGAAAAAAGCCCACCAAGTCAAACAAAAGAGGAGGAAATAGGGAATCTACCTGAAAAAGAATTTAGAATAATGATAATAAAAATGATCCAAAATCTTGAAAACAAAATGGAGTTACAAATAAATAGCCTGGAGACAAAGATTGAGAAGATGCAAGAAATGTTTAACAAGGACCTAGAAGAAATAAAAAAAAGTCAATTAAAAATTAATAATGAAATAAATGAGATCAAAAACACTCTGGAGGGAACCATGAGTAGAATAACAGAGACAGAAGATAGGATAAGTGAGTTAGAAGATAAAATGGTGGAAATAAATGAAGCAGAGAGGAAAAAAGAAAAAAGAATCAAAAGAAATGAGGACAACCTCAGGGACCTCTGGGACAATGTGAAACGCCCCAACATTCGAATCATAGGAGTCCCAGAAGAAGAAGACAAAAAGAAAGGCCATGAGAAGATACTCGAGGAGATAATAGCTGAAAACTTCCCTAAAATGGGGAAGGAAATAGCCACCCAAGTCCAAGAAACCCAGAGAGTCCCAAACAGGATAAACCCAAGGCGAAACACCCCAAGACACATATTAATCAAATTAACAAAGATCAAACACAAAGAACAAATATTAAAAGCAACAAGGGAGAAACAACAAATAACACACAAAGGGATTCCCATAAGGATAACAGCTGATCTATCAATAGAAACCCTTCAGGCCAGAAGGGAATGGCAGGACATACTTAGAGTAATGAAAGAGAATAACCTACAACCTAGATTACTCTACCCAGCAAGGATCTCATTCAGATATGAAGGAGAACTCAAAAGCTTTACAGACAAGCAAAAGCTGAGAGAATTCAGCACCACCAAACCAGCTCTTCAACAAATATTAAAGGATCTTCTCTAGACAGGAAACACAGAAAGGTGGTATAAACGTGAACCCCAAACAACAAAATAAATGGCAACGGGACCATACCTATCAATAATTACCTTAAATGTAAATGGGTTGAATGCCCCAACCAAAAGACAAAGGCTGGCTGAATGGATAAAAAAGCAAGACCCCTATATATGCTGTCTAC